TTATGGAAAATATTTATTTATACTTTTTACAAATATGGATGAGTGACAGTTCTGGGCTAATCTGAGGACATGTCAGTTAATAAGAAAGACAGACATGTCCCTTCCTCTTAAGGAACTTTTTATGACACATGGACACACACACACACACATGCACACAATTAAGGCAGTGAAAAGCATGATAGAGAATGGAGACCCTTTGATGAGGGAATATACTTTGTATTGGGGGCAGGGAAGGCATTACTGAAGTAGTGGCATTTGAGCAGAAGGATGAGCCAGGTGAGAAGTAGGAGCAGAATGTGGGGGAGGGGGCCCTAGGGACACAAACCAGCTGTTCCAGAACCCTAGGAAGAATAATGGGGTCTCTCTCCAGCACAGGGCTGGAGGAGGGGAGCGATATGAGGTTAGATGGACATTGAGGTAGGCCCAGATGACACGATCAGGTAGAACTTGCTGGTTTTTATTCTAACCTCAATAAACCCTTTAGTCTTTCATGACTATTAAATTTGCTACAGGTGCATACGCTCAAGAGAGAAAGAGAGAGAGAGAGAGAGGGAGGGAGGAAAAGTGAGGAAACATCCCCCAGGTAGGATGGCTGTACCTCAATCTCTTCTTCCCCATTCTCCTTTTAGGATTTTGGGCTTGCGTGTGTATGTGCCTGGTGTGTTTTCAAGTCACTGGCCTGGGACTCCAACTAGGCAAGTGGCCACGTAAGATATAGCCACCTTAAACCATGCCACTGGCTGGCTCCACACCACTGAAGGTGAGCAAATGTTCCAATTCACTTTCGGAAGAGATTGCTCTAAATGAAGGTGGGAAGCAAATTGGGAACTTAGGAGAAAGGGGGAGCAAAATGATGGTTAGGAGGCAGTTGGAGTAGCCCAGAAGGGAGAGAGTGGTGACTGCAGTGGAGAGGCCCAGAAGTAAGCAGACCTGATAAATGTTTCAGAATGTGGAATGACTAAGTATGGCGGGGAAATGGTCATGATAAAGGGGATGTGAAAGGCGGCACTGAGGATAGAGCTCCGGCTTCCGGCTGGACGAGGGCGGCCCCAGCCACTGCGAAGGCTGTGTAGGAATCAGCTGGAAGATCCGGGATAGAGGAGGAGCAGCCCCATGGGAAGACAGGGAGGGAGACGAGGCGACTTGAACTACGTCTTTGTACTAGAAAGGTGAATGAGATAAGGACGCAATTTTCTTTTTAATTTAATTTAATTTTTAATTTTATTTCTTTCGTGAGTGAGAGAGACACAAAGGTGGGTGCACCCCTAACAGGGTCTTCACGCAGTGACCCATCCCCAGCTTCAGCCAGTCCTGGACAGTGGGCATACATGCACCTGGCATGTTCCAGGAGACCTCTGGACATGCGTCTGGGACCTTCCCCCGTGGGTCATCTTCATAGAACACTGTGTTATACATGCCACCCTCTAGCCCTCATGAAGAAGGAATTTTCTATTAGTAAAATGTACTGCCTAGAGTTTTGTCCCTGTCCTAACAACCAACTAGACCTCAGTCTTACTGTCTTTGGTCATTCATTCAACAACTTTGAGCAGGTTCAAACACCCCGAGACAGTGTTCCGTACGGCGTTGAACAGGTAGCAGTAGCGGAATAGCAGGTGGCTGCCCGCGGCATAGGCAATAGCGTCTCAGTGCTCTGTGGGTAAGACATCACATCACGCCGAGTCACATCGTGAGAAAGTCATTTCCTTTTCAATTCTTCCTTAGGCCTTCTGATTACATCGGGGAGAAAGGCTCAGGTTTGGTGTTAGCATGTCTTTACACCTCTCTAACACTGGATAATCTCTCTTTTTAACGAAGAGAGAACAAGGCCACCGTCTCAGGGCATTTTTAGCAGGCCACAGTCTCCAGCA